TTTTTTAAAAATTTGTTTTCGAAAACGTGCTTACCTTTCTTGCTACCTACCAACTACCGTTTATTGTCATGGGTGACGTTAATATTGACATGAACTTTAAAAAAATACTGCCGCCACAGAACTGTCTGATATTGTGACGTCCTTCGGATGTAAAAATTCGATAGCACTACCCACCAGGATTTCTTCAGGGTGTGCCTCTTTACTCGACTTGTGTATAACAAATATACAGGACGCTGCCTTCTGTTCTGGGTTTTTTCCAGTAATATTCATGACCACGTTCCGATATGCCTTTTAATTTTCTTGTCAAAAAAGAGAGTAAGCAAAGAAAATACTTTTTCTTACCGCAAAATAAAATCATGAACGCTCTCCCACTTCTCTGCCTTGATTGACAGTGCTGCCAGCGTTTATGAAGAAGCGAATCCTAATATGGCATATAATCATTTCTTATATACCCCTCTCAGACGGCGTTCTGAAGATCCTTTTCACTAAGCTCCTTTATAAAATCGGCTAACCAGCGCACGCCGTAGCGCACGTGCGCACGCCGTAGAGCACGTGCGCACTCCACATCGCGAGCTGATTGGCCTATTTTATAAAGGAGCTTAGTGAAAAGGATCTTTAGAACACCGTCTGACAGGGGTATTAAAGATCTTTAAAATATGTTATGTCAATGCATTCCCCCCTATACAATCCAAAAATAAAAAGCAGAAAGTGAGGAAGCCATGGAAACGGATAGTCTTTATAAAATAATAAATGAAAAAAAAATATGTACCATGACTTTGTCAAAACACGTGACCAGCAACTTCTAATTCGGTTTAACAGCCAATATAAAAAAAAGCAAAACGTGAGTATCATCAGAATATGTTCAACAATATAAAAAACGAGCCGAGAAAGATATGGAACGCAGTGAATGACATCACAAATAGGAAATCTTCTTTCGCGTGTATAGATGAAATTATTATCGATTATAAAAATTTTGAAGGAAAAGGTCTTTCAAATATTATTAGTGCACATTTTGTCAGTGTGGATGAATGTGAAAAAAAAAATGACGCGGGCGTTTTCGTCGTTGACGGAACAAAGCCTTTGCTGAATTTTATAATGTTTAAGCCAACTACACCGATCGAAATTGAAATGCTGATTTAAACATAAAAGAATAACGTTGCCGCCGGTATTGACGGTTTTAAATCGGTTCTAGTGAAACGTGTCTTACAATCACTTAGTTACATTCTGTCATACATAACTATTATAATACTACCAACAGGAATATTTCCAACGAGTTAAAAACTGCTAGAATCGGACCAGTATTTAAAGGCGGGGAGAAATAGTTTGCACCACTATCGTCCAATTTCCATTCTGCCAATGTTTGCCAAAATATTTGAAAATGTCATTTGTTCAAGATTAGGGGCTTTTTCTTGTATGTATAATAATTATAATGTAATAAATGAGGCTCAATATGGATTTCAAAAGCAAAAATCTACCGAACAAGCCCTACTTTACATAAAAGACAAAATTATCAGGAATATTGAAGATAAATTTTACATTAGGTTTGTTTTTAGACTTTACGAAGGCATTTGACATAATACAGCACAATATCGTACTGATTAAGCTTGAATATTATGGGATACGTGACGTGGCATTAAAACTAACTGAAAGTTATTTCAAAAATCGATATCAATATGCGCATTTAGATGAATCAGACTCTGAGAAGTTAGAAGTACGACACGGAGGGCCGCAGGGATTCATTCTAGGCCCTCTGTTATTTCTCATTTATGTAAATGATATGGCAAACATGCAGGATTCCTCAGTACTAATCTTGTGAGCAGATGACACGAACGCCTTCTTCAAAGCACGGTTTAAAGATATTTTACAAATAATGGCCAACGAATATTTGGATATTTGGAGAACTGGCTTGAGCGTAACGAATTAAACTTAATGCTGAAAAAAACTAAATACATAATATTTCGTCCAAGTAACAAGCGAAACAAAACTTCTATATTTATTAATTTTGATGGAATACCTTTAGAGCAGGTCAAAGCTAAACAAAAATCCTAGGCAGAGTAGTTCAATGAAGACTTCAACTGGTCGACGCACATACATAAACTTTGTTCTGAACTATCTAAAGCGATAGGATTTATACATAGAATTCATAAACTACTACCTCCATGGTTAAAAAAGGAATTATATTATTCTTTATGTGACTCAAAAATATCATACGGTGCATTGTTGTCGGGGCCCACAACTATGACTAACTATAACAAAATAATAGTTCTTCAAAAACGAATACTTCACATGCTCGACAGTTTTCAGGGTAACTTGCGAGACTTGCGTACGGACCCATTGTTTGTAAAATACACTATGCTAAAGGATAATAAAATATATTACTCGAAATTACATAAGCTTATTCAAAAACAGAAGTTATACCTAATCATGAAGAATGTTAGCCCAGAACATGCACCGAGAAAAAATATCGCGAAAAGACCTAAAGGAAGAACCAATTATGGCAAGCAACAATTGGACTTTCAAGTTTTCTTCTTTTTACACAAAACTGAAGAAAAGGTAAACTTTCAGTGTTCCTTTCATATTTTCAAGACAGATATTAAAGAACTCTTGATGGAGAGTGATATCGTTTATAAATGATGAACAAAATGTGGAAAAGTCACTTTTGATGTAACTAGTGTTCTTTTCTCAATCGTGTTAAACATGGTGCAAGTGCTTATTATGAATTTGTTTGGTTCTGCATGTGCATTTGCAGATGTCCTCTTTTGCGCTGTACTGTAAAGGGAGGTGGAGGCCTCGTCAAGCTGAAGTGGAAGCTTTTTTTTTTTTTCTGCCTCCCTTGCTCCCCCTTGTTTGAAAAGATATAAACAAACTAAAAAAAAAAGACTCACAAAGCCTGACAGTTCGACGTAGGAGCCATAGTGTGCACCCGGTTGCAGATATGGAGCGCGAGGATCTGGGCCGGCTTGCTATACTCGGTTTCACTTGTACCGCAGCGAAGGCTAGATGCGCGAGCTCGTAGGCTTGGCTGCTGCCAGGGGAACTCCGGCGATATTTTGAGCAACCCCAACTAACCATATATTCGAAATCGCCGTCCGTTACTCTTTTCGTTATGCTATTTAGTATCGCGAAATTCAGAATAGTTTTTGTGAAATCGGCAAATGAAAACGACGCCAAAACGAAGATTCGAATATACCCGCGCTTTTCATTGCCCTGAACGTCACGGTTGGGCTGGATTGCGGTTCGAGCAGGCAGTCTAAATATGAACTATGCCGAGCATTTGTATCGTGCTGCTGCGCGGGGGCTGGAGTGACCTTCCAAAGCATTCATTTGACACCATGAAACTGTTTGTAATCAGATGTGAACAAAGTCTACAGCCCAAAGAGTGAACTCCTACCCAACCATGACGTCACTTTTTCAATGTTGCCCGTAGAGCTTTTCACTTTGAAAAACACGATGAGGTCCAAAATTGTAAATTCTGTAACTGCACGAAAAAACGTTATTTTGTCCAAATATTTGAGTTACTAGTTCAGCGATGTTTGTTGGTGTGTCTAGCAAGCTTTTAGGCAAATCGGGGACTATGAAGAAAACGGCGGAGTACCCCTTTAATGCACGAGAGCTTGTGCCGCCGAGATGTGCCCCAAAGCAAGGAGCTCGCGCTTGTAGCCTTTCCTGCGGTACATCATAAGGTGAAACAGAGTATAGAAGTAGTGTCTCAGTTAAGACTGCTCAAAGAAACCGCTGCCAAGGCTCGGGCGCGCGAGCATCTGAGACTCGATTTAAGCTCGAGCGCTCCTTGACAGCGCTTTCTTTGAGCAGTCTCAACTGAGACTCTGCTTCGAGCAAGCCGGCCCACGTAGCACAGAGCGTCAAAGAGTCATTTCTCGGGGAAGCTGGACTTCAGCGCACAGCTTTTGAGGCGGCGAGAACCCGAAACACACATTTGGGTGCTCGCGTCTCGCCATAGCGTCTCGCGGCTGCGGCGAGACGCTGCATTTCGGCGTCTCGCCTCAGCGGGGCGCCCAGTCACGTGGCTCTCCTCTCAACCGTTGTCTGCCGCTCCACCTTTTCCATTTCGGCGGCCGCTTCTCGTGGCGATCTGCCAGGATTTGTCAGTATATCGGAGACTATGGTATAATCCTATAAACAAACACGCTGCTTCTCCGCGTTTGCCGCAGAAACAAAATTCATACCAAGTGAAGCGTCTACGCGTGCGCAGCGCGAATAGCTGCACCTCTTAGGCCGCATGACGTAAGAGCCGTGCTTTGTTGTATGACCCCCTCTACTCACACTTCCTCAGAAATTTGTAACAGCCCCTTCGTGTGAGGCAATTCTTCAGGTGTGCCCTACCAAGTGATCTTGATGTGAAGTCCCGGGCATTGGGACTGTTGTTCCAACGGAGCCTTCACGGAAGGCGCCGACGGAAATGTGACTTTATGAACCGCGTTGGGCACAGTGACAGACACCGCCTGAGGGCCGCCGAGCGGGGAGGTCCCTGACAAAGACGTCAGCAGGGACGCGGCTGCGGTCAAGTGGCCCGACACTGTGATGTCGAAAAGTGCGGTCGTTGCAGCAGGGACGTGCTTCCTCCGAGGCACGAGGCCGGACAACCCCGAGTCCCTGAGACTCCTTACCGACATCGCTGACCCTCCCAGAAAGGTCTCGTCGACCCTGCCTGCATCGTGGAGTGCCGGCCTGCTGCGGCCCCGAGACGCACCGCGTCCCAAGCCCGATGCACCTGCCCAAGAGGGTGAGCGCGCGCACCGAGCTCCCAGTCGCGCAATAAAAGTCCGTATCAGAATTTCAGTCACGCGGTGCTTCCCCTGTTCACCCCAGAAGGCACTCCAAGAGTGGTAGAACCGCTAATTCTCTGTAACGGTCATCACATGCGCTTCCAAGTCGAGACATTTCAGTTTGGTTGCGATCTTTTGCACAGCGTATCAAAATTAGAAATAGCACATTTATGAGAAGTCTTTTGGTAACCCTCAAGTTTGGAGCAAGGAAAACTATGTGCCCAACCGTCCAATCTCCCGTAACCTTGCCGACCTCCGTGGACGGGGCGAAGATTCGACGACGACGTCGCTCCAAGACGTCCTCGCCAGTTCTGATTGGCTCCTAAAGCACCAGTACCCGAGGTATCCCACGTACCAGAAGAGCATGGCGGTCATCATGAGGACGAGGAAGGTGGACAGGTGATTCACCATGTCCACGAAGAACTGTGGGGACAGCGCTCCCGGCGACTTGAGTTTGACGGTGGTTCCGGTACCTCCGACGGAGTAGAGGTAGACGTTCATCTTCTTGAACAGGTACTCCGAGTACAGCTTCCGTTTTTCGATGTTCGCCACGTAGGAGACCTCGATCTGCAGGCTCGAGAAGTACTCCAGGATGCGCCACGGCAGTGTGGGGTCGTTCACGGAGTAGGTGACGTTGTCCAAATCGATTTCCAGAGACGGATGAAACATGCCGTCCGTTGTGTTTGGTAGCGCTGGAGTGCGTCTCCTTCCGGTTCCCGACGACGGTGACGATGTTGCTTTCGGACTGCCCAACATTCCTAATCGCAGAAACAAACCGACGCCAATTCACTTTTACATGCAAATAAAGTTTACGTCCGTGCCAAATAGAAATGTGATAAGTACAGAAATGACGAATGGCTCTGCAAATAATTCCACGTGGGGGCTAGGGTAGCGGCATTTCAACAGCGTCGTGCAGTGGGTTCGGACATATAAAAGTCTATAGACGCTTTGCAGCAGCTGTGCATGGGTGCCGCCATAAGCGACCTTCAGTTTTTGTTATCTTTTATTACAATTACTTCACTTGATCATTACCACAGCAGGGCAGGTTATTGCCCTTTTAGGTTCTGCTGTGTCTTTCTCCACAGCACTGACCTTTGTGAAGGCTCGTCAACGCCCGCTTTAGTTGCTTGGCATCTGGGAAAGACAACTGAAGGGCATCGATGGTTGCTGTAATTTGGCGCGTGTGTAAAGCGTCTATATACGGCGTGGAAGTTCGTCTGCTCTTCGCACACCTAGTGCATTTGTTTACTCTCCAGATGAGTCAACGTGCTTTTGTTTGACCCCGACCTCACCCAATGATAGCACACACCTAACTGCTTCGTCATCGCGTGTTCCCTGTGCGTTATTGAGGTTTCCCTTTGATTGGTGTGCCCTTCCTAGCGTTCCAGTGTGCCAAAGACGTATTTTCGCATTTTGGAGCACTTGCTCGCCGTATACTTTGTTCTACTATGAGTAAGAGGGCAGTCCAAGGCGTAGTACAAACACGGACACACACATACTAAAAGCGAAAAGCCACGGTGCTTTCATGGCGCTTGATTGGTTAAGCTGATTATAGCAGGCGCGTAACAAGATTACATATTGTGACTTTGACGTTTTTGCCCTATTTGATTGGCGACATCGGCAAGTAGCGTTGGCTGCGAGGAGTGAAGGCCCCTCCTCTTTACCGTCATCCCTTCATCTCCCGTACACTACCGACGTCACTGGTTGTCGCCTGCTCAACGTTTCAATAAACGTCTCCGTAGTAAACACGAAAGTCCAAAAGACGCATGGTGGGTGGGAGGAATACCTTTGATCACGAACTTGTTGAAACTCCACTGTACCTCGCTGCGCGAGTCGTTGCTTCCAGGCTGGTCTACGATTGGCTGAAATGCGCCCCCCGATGACGTCACGTCCCGGATCTTTTTGCTGCGGTCTCGGCAGACCTCGAGGTCAAAGCTCTCCAAAGCGGCGCAAAGGCCTAGATTTCGGAATAAAGTCTTGACAACGGCTCCGCGACTACCGGCAGGCTCTAATTGGTTGGACGATGTCACTTGTCCTGAATTGACCAATGAGAGGAGTAGAAGCGTCGTGAATCCAGGGACCCGCATGTGGGGCATGATCAACGGACCACGATATTGCTCTCTTCCTCTTTTCTTTGTTTGGCGAGTCCCTGGTGTCGGATCGGAGGTAAAAGGGATTTGGATTTCCCCTCGTGGCGAACTAAGGTGCTACAATAATTTTTTTGTTATTTTAGATATGGAAGGACGACATTTGTTCAGTTTAAATAGGAGGAAAAAGCATGAATCTCTCACCAGAAAGTGAGCGAGAGAACGATGTAGATAACGAAGAGAGCGGACAGGAGTAAAGTGACTGGATCCTGCGAAAGTATCGCCAAGTCCCCGTATGGTCGCCATTTTAATTCATTTTTTTACCTCTTCATTTTCGGTGAGCCTATCCAAACTCCCGGTGACAGGTTGATTTACAAAGACTTTTTATTAATACCGAGATGTTGCTGTCCACACGCCGGCGAAGCAGTCGCACATCTTTGCGCCACCACCACAGGCGGCGTCAATGCTTAGCGGCATTGAAAAATAATTTTCCTGTCTTTAAATAAGCAAGAACAATACTTTTCTAAGATATCTGTGGAGATAAGCATGTTTGAAAAGTTCATTGGATGCACAGTGCCAAATCCGCTTATATTGGCGAGGACGCTTTCAGTACTATGATGCTCCATAACGATCTTGGCGCAACGGGTTTAGATTGAATGGACAGAAAGGGTGATGGGCCATGGCAACTGAGACCGATCAGCTAATCACCTCGCGAGGTTTGGTTGTCTGTATGTTAGGATCTGATAAGGATAGATAACTGGGCGAGTTGGTGAGAGTTCATGTTGAAAAACAGCGCGACTAAGACGAGGACACAGAGACGAAGAGAACACAGGACAAAGCGCTGACTATCAACTGGTTTGTATTACACACTAAGGAAGAATGACAATGATATGAAAAACATGGAGTCAAATGTTCGCGCGCTTGCTTGGCGCCTCGTGAAATATGTCCCTTTCTTCTTTTTTCCCCGATCGTAGATTGGTTTTCTTCTTTCTTTCCTCGGGAGCTTTTGTCACCCTGAATCCAAAAACTTCATCTCGCTGGGAGTTAGAGTCACCGATGGTTGGCTCACACACGAACTATTGTTCTTCGTGATGTGGTAGGCTTCTATCATTTCTCGACATGTTTGGTCGCGGTGTTGAAACAATATACTGGTGTTTTCGAAGCGTGGTTCGCAACCGCAATCTTTGCAATGTATCGCTAGATGCGAATTAGCGGTGCCCTTCAAGGAGCTATGGTGCTCTCTTAGTCTGATGTTTAAGCACCGGCCAGTCTGCCCGATATACCAGTGCCCACAAGAGAAGGGAATGCGGTAAACCACGCCTTTTACACACGACACGAACTGCATCCCATGCTTTACCTTACATGTGTTATATTCTGATCTTGCTTTACCCTCCTTGCGTGCACGTACAGCAGAACATAATCTACTTAGTTTGTTTTGAGCTGAAAAAACAACGTTCACTTCGTATCTGGACGCGACTTTTTTAAGTCCGTGTGAATTGCGGTGAAGATAAGGAATGACTGAAACTTTCTTTTTTTCTTTTTTAACTGGTTCTTCTAGCATGGAATTGGAACTATTCTTTACGATTTTTATTAAACTATCGCATGCTGATGAAATAATCGAGTCTGGGTATCCTGAATCCCTAATCCTTTGAATTTGGGAAGTGAAGCTAACGCCCATTGTGTGAACACATGATTTTGTTAAGGCGGATTTCAAACAGGAATACACTATCCCTCTTTTGACGAGTTTCGAATGTGCTGACTGGTAGTTTAGCAAACTCTTTGATGTTCTAGGATGATACAACCAACAAATGTGTTCTATTTTAAATTCAACGAGGAGATCTAAAAATTGAATTCGACTCTCTTTTGGGGTCTCATAAGTGAACCTAAGGCCTTGGCCAAGCTCATGGAATACTTTAAGGACGTATTCTAGTGTTTTTTCACAATTGGAGTCTTCAACAAATACCAAAAAATCATCAACATACCTAAAGATCTTAATGGTGTGATTTTTGAATTTTTGAACTAGAGCTCTGCCTATCTTCCCGAGGAAAATATCACTCAGTACAGGCGCTACTCTCGACCCTATAGACGCTTTCAGCGAGTCAGTTACTCGAGCTGCCACCAGTCGGCGCGCCCTTCGCGCGCTCTCCGGGCCGCCATAGCCGACCTTCAGTTCCTCGCCGTTGCTCCGCGTTGTGTGCTGCACAGACCACTACCGGAGCTTCGTTTTCGTGTTCATTTACGTTCCGCGTTGAAATCTTGCACTTTCTTTTTGTCGTTTCGCTATTTAGAACTTTCATTTAATCATTTGATATTTATATTTCGACATAGCTCTTGTATTTTCTTATTTGTGGAATGGAATCGGACAGCGAATGGGTCGACGATACAAGATTATGAGGCTTCAATGACCATGTAAGTTCATCCCATTCTTACGTTTTTGTCGCTAATAAAGGGCAGTCAACACTATTGCGACATATGTAAATTGCAACTGACGCAGTAAGGCTATCGCAGTCGTGCTTCTCGCTGCATGTGCGCGCTTGTTTCCGTAAAGCCGACCCGCACGTCAGCGATTTAGCGTGCGACGAGACGAGCGACGGAGATTTTTTTTCTTTTTTTTTATTTAAAAATACTGTCGTTCGTCGCATCGCTCGTTCTTTGGGGTTTTTAGAAAACGTCGCTCACCGTCTTGGTCGCTTGCTCCGTCGCTTCCATGCGGTTTGCCTCGTCGCGCGACTGACTGAGCGACAGCGAAGCGGGTCGCCGTCGCTTATCTGGTCGCTCGCCAAATCGCTTACATGCGGTTTATACTCAATTAATTTCCATGCACACAGCAATGAACCATTGACGCCTCGATATTAAGTATAAACCGCGTGCAAGCGATTCGGCGAGCAACGAGACAAGCGACGGTTACCCCCTTCGCTGTCGCTGGGGCAGTCGCGCGACGAGGCAAACCGCATGGAAGCGACGGGAGCAAGCGACCAAGATGGTAAGCGACGTTTTCTAAAAACCCAAAAAACCGAGTGATGCAACAGGCGACAGTGAGAAATCTTCGTCGCTGACTCTCGTCGTTGTCGCCGTCGCTCGTCTCGTCGCACGCTAAATCGCTTACATGCGGGCCGGCTTTACGGAAACAAGCGCGCACATGCAGCGAGAAATACGACTGGATAGCCTTACTGCGTCAATTGAAATTTGCATATGTCGCAATGGTGTTGACTGCCCTTTATTAGCGAGAAAAACGTTAGAATGGGGTGAACTTACATGGTCTCTGAAGCCATAATCTTGTATCGTCGATCCATTCGCTGTCCGATTCCATTTCATAAATCAGAAAATACAAGAGATATGTTGAAATATAGATATCAGATGATTAAATGAAAGCCCGAAATATCGAAAAGACCTAAAGAAAACACACGATTTCAACGCGGAACGTAAAAAAACGCGAAAACAAAGCTCCGGTAAGGGCCGGTGCAGCACACAGCGCGGAGGAACGGCGAGAAACTGAAGGGCGGCTATGGCGGCAGGGTCACGTGACTCCAAGATGGCGGCGCCCATGAAATGTTGCCTGAAAGGGTCTATACAAACACCTGACTTTTGAATGAACACTTTCTCCTCCCACCCTATAAAAGTAGATTTTAAATACATGGATAATAGTTCAAGGAAATGTTCAACTGTTATTCCGCATTGTGTTCTAAACTTAGTTTCGTTGTAATACTCCAAAATGCACTCTTGAACGCTTACCATGAGTTCATCATGAGGCAAAGAGTAGTACAAGTCCTCTACATCAATGCTGAATGCTGTGCACCCCTCTAGATTGTTGTCTCTTAGAAATTCGATAACAACCTTGGAGTTGGGGATGCGTAAAGGGTCAACGATTGAAAGGGAATTTAGTTGTTTTTGTAAATATCCCGAGATGGCGTGTTGCCAAGTGTTGCGTTCCGATACTATGGTGCGGAAAGGGATTCCCGGTTTATGGGTTTTTGCGGAGAAAAACACCATTAACGTTAGGTTTTCTCCTTTCTTGGCTGCTGACGCGACTTTCTCTAAGTTGAGTTGAGTGAGAAACTTAGGATCTGCGTGTGTCCGGTTAAAGTGTGTCCACACGACGGACCAAATTGCTGTTTCGGTCCGCGGGCCGCGCATCACGTGATCTTACGTCACCGGTTTTCGAGGTCCGCCGGCGGTCCGCGGCCCGCGCTTCTGAGAAATGCCAAGCGATTTTTCTCGCCCGGAACTTGGCGGCGGACCGCGCCGTTTTTAGTATAATTGAAGCGCTAAGTCTGGCAACAAGCTGACTTTAGTTGTTTGGGTTCTTTGGGTTGGAATCAAAATCCAAAGTCGTTTTCTTTTGGCGCCAACTGTTGAAGACGAAGAAGACGGACGTTCTTCTGTTGTCCGACGATGGCGGCATGGTGCGATGACGCAACTTCTTACTTCATCGCGCTCGTGGAGCAATTCCCCGCTCTGTGGGACAGTAGTCGCGACGACTACTCAAATAATCATCTAAAGATGTCCCTGTGGCAGAACATTGCCCATGCGATGACCGAAGCTTGGCCCGCGTACGCTCCCTACAGCGTGGGTATGTACACACTACGTTCGAATTTTCTGCCCCATTGTTGAAACGTTGATGTACCTTCGAAATGCGCAACAGGAAAAGAAGTAGAACAGAGGTCTCACAGGTGCCGCAATAAGGCAGAATAACGGCAGTTTTCATCGTAAGCGGTTCTCCAAACATAATATTGCGAAGAGCGTTGTACTATCCATTACCTTAAAAAGTAAAATATTAATAATATTATTCTTTATTTTACGTGCCCCAAAACAACCACAATCACTCTGGTGCACACAAGTAAATATAAACTAGAACACTACCAAGGTTCACGCTGTATCGAAAGGGGAGAATCCCACATGAACAAATGACGAAGAACCTTGACATGAACTGTAGTATACTACAGTTCATGTCAAGGTTCAGTTATAAGTCCTAACTCCCTGCAGAAGACAGGAAGGTCCCACATTTATTTATTATTACAGACTTATTAAAGACGATATTTAGCAACAAACGGGGAACATACTGGAAGAAGAAGCAGAAGACAACAAAAACAAAGACTGGCCAAGGCTCGGAGGACATGTACACGGGGAAGTGGCGCTTCTTCCGGGTTATGCGGTTCTTGGAAGCTGTGCCGGAGCCTGCCCATCGCTCCTTCAGCGACGTGTTTGACGAACACACAGAAACCGTAATTACAGCATCATATCAGCCTGATATCCAGTAAAAATGAGTAGAAAACAGAGATAAAAATTAATGCACTTACTGCAGGGGTGCAGCCGAGCTGGACAAAAATAAACAATAAATAATCCAGCAGAAGGTATTATTTATCGCTTATTTGTTTTGTGTGCTCTTTGTGCTCGTACACATGCAAACTTTGGCGTCAATAACTATAGGCATTTACTCCCTCAAGTAAAGAAATAATCATCCCAAAGGCAATGTGACCGCTTTATTTGATTTAATTAGCTGAGGAATGCAGTTTGCCACAAACACAAAACAACATTAAAATACTTTTCTTCCTTCTGATCCTTCTTCTCTTCCTATCTTTTGAACTTTTTCTCCCCCGAAATAAAATCCTGCGTACGCCACTGCAACACACAATATCTCCAACACAGCTGTGCTTGAGACCTTGCGTGCTGCTGCGTCCTTCGTCGTTCCCTCAGTTTCGGGTTTTTTTCTTCAAATATTATGTTTCGTTACTGCAAAAAGAGAAATAGAAAATGAGAGATTAATGAAACTTAAGTCACCGCTGCTTGATATGTAACGTTACTACTGTGCCGTCACATTACACACTGAAAAATGCATTGAGCCGTCCACGCCGACCACAGTTGGAGACGAAAGCTCGGAGTACAATGAGCAAGACTCAGCGAGTAGCCAGCCGCCCTCTCCTGGGCCCAGCAGAGTTCAGCGGCAGAGCTCTAAGCGGTCAAGGCAGCCCAAATCCTCTGTGTCGTCAAATGACATATTTGCTCAGAGGCAAGCTGTTCTTGAAGAAATAGCATGTGCGGTTCAACTGCCGCCTGAAGCAAATGATGCCGCAGCACATTTTGCTAAGACTATGGCAGCTCTCACTAGGTCATTGAGCAGAGAAAAGCTCATTATGTGCCAAAAAGAAATACTTGATGTGATCGCAAAATATGTTTCGGAGTAAATAAAGAAAGACGTGCTCAGTGTGTTACTTAATTTACAATTTGTGTTTGTGGTGGTTCTTATCAATGTATACAGCCTCTTGCTGCCCCAGCACAGCACCTGTCCTCACGCACAGCAGCAACACACCCACTGAGACGGTCACGTGACACTGTGAAGCCGAATTAGGATGTCACTTCTTTGACTTCTTTTGTTTGTCTCTGCCGATGTCCATGTCAACAAAGGCCGCCTCTCGCTGCCATGGCACAGCACCTCTGCCATTGAAGTATGTGCACATTTGGTCACACACAGAAGCACCAAACTGATTTGGGCGCCCACGTGGTGCAGGGAACCCAAAGAAGGTTCCAGTAGATTGCCCTCTTCCTTGACTGGTTGTTTCGGTAGTGGCGTCCGCATCGTTGCACAAGAAGTTGTGCAGTAGACAAGTTGCCTTCACAATCGCAGCAGTTCTTTTAGGTGTGGCACCGATAACAGTATGCAGGCAGCGGAAACTGTTAGCCAAAATTCCGAAAGCGTTCTCAACCACACGTCGGGCTCGGGACAACCTGAAAAAAGCAAACATTTGGTGATATGCCAGACCTTGATGAAATTAAAAAGCTTCATAGAAGAGAGCGAAGGTTAATCCTTCCACTAGACGTATCAACAAAGTCCTTAAAATGTTACCTAAACTATGTGACATAGAGTGATGGTGGTAACTTAAGATATTCTTATGCCGGCAGTAGCAGCCACCCAAATCATATAGGACGATAACTCCACGAATTGATATTTATATGGCCTTTTTCTAAGCTATCAAAGACTGGACTTTTGCACTGCATGATGTCGTGAACCCCTATAAATTATTTTCGGATACTCCTCATAGTTTTGTGCAATCAAACTTTTAAAATAATTTTGGATACTATTTACTCATTAGTACCAATTGTGCCAATACTAGTTATGTGCGACACTGCTGTACCCAATGTAAATCAATGCTTGCTGGTAAGTGCTTTCGTACACCAAATATGTGGGCAACTGCCTCGGTTAAAGAACACCATGCATTCAATAATACGAACAGAAATTTACCAGTAATTGAATACCTTCTGGTCATCCGAGAGTGGGGTGCCTCCAAAGGGCTTCATTATGTTCCTGCCGATGGGGAATGCGTCGTCGGCCACAAAGACTGGCGGCAGGAGCAAGTCCGAATCAGTAGCCACTTTCACCACCTTTGGCAGATTTACTGTGTTGTTTGAAATGGCTCGTTGCAAAGGTGTTGTCTGCCAAACACCTGCATCTCCTTTGGAGCCTGGCGCACCGACATCTATGTATATGAATCTGTAATTTGCGTCGACGACAGCAAACAAAACGATGCTATAGGTTTTTAAATAATTATAGTAAATAGAGCCCGATTTTGGTGGTTTTGTGATGCGCACGTGTTTGCCGTCCATAGCCCCGACACAATTTGGATATTGCCAATTTTCTCTGAATTCCTTTATGACAGCCTGCCAGTCATCTTCAGTCTTCGGTGTTTGCAAACAGTCGCTTTTTAATTCTTCATAGAGAGCTGTGCATGTTTCTTCATAGAGAGCTGTGCATGTCTCTGCGATGAGGTCGTTCACGCTGGAGTGGCCCAGTCTGAACTGTCTGCTGAGGGAGTGGTGACTCTCTCCTGTAAAATGGAAGCAACAGGAACGACATAACACCGGGACGACCGTAACACATGATTGATTGACAAAGGTGCTCGTTGCATTGTTTGTCACGCTCTGTAATGCGAACACAACTGTCCCGGTGTCATGTCGTTTTTGTGGCTCGAAACAGAGATGTGTTTACCCGGACTTTACATTGACTTCATTCACATTACTTACCGGTCGCAAGGTATCGAAGCGTGACTTGCAGCCTTGTTGCAGGCGTAATGGCACGGCGCATCACTGTGTCTTGCCGCTCGATTCTTGGCCCAACGCGTGCCAGGAGCTGTAGAAACTGCTTCTCGCTGACGCGTAGAAGCCGGCGGTACTCGTCGGGGACCGAAACCAACAGCTCCGAAAAGAGTTGAATATGCAGACCAAGATCTTTCCTGCACATTCAGGGCTTCACCCAGCATGCCCTTTTCGGTTCAATGAAGTCCTCCTCGTCCTCAATAGTCAACGCCAGGGCCACCGCGGCCAAACGTCTCTTTTGCCCAACCTCCATCTTGGCTCCTTACAAATAGCCTCAAAGCAGCTCGCTGCATGCGTTTGGCGGAGCTGTGAGGTCGAGGGTTAGCCCGGCCCGCTCACACTGTCGTCTGCTCTTTTGGTCCGCCGTGTGGATGCTCATTACAGCCGGGCGGCCCGCGGGCCGCGCAGCAATCGGGCCCGGTCCGTCGTGTGAATACACCGAAAGGCAAAGGAGCTACTTTCCCAGAATCCAGTGACTTTAGACAGGAGGAGAGAAACATGCACCAAATAAACACCACCACTTACCTTGCCACAGTATCGAATCGCTCCGTTGACCAACCACGAGCCATCACAAGTTATTTTACATCTGGGTTTGTGGACGAGAAAGACGTTCGCGCGGCGGAGGGCACACGAGGAAGGTGCACTCGACTGCTGAACCTCGGGTGCCTCAGCTGAACCTGTTTGACTAAAAGTGTTTTTTTTTTCTGTGCCCAGCCTGTCTGGACCTTCTTGCAAGTGAGCAGCATGTACCGATTCCCACAGACGTCAGCGTGACGTCCGCATCAGTAGCGCACTATTTCCACATCACGGAAGAACACTACCTGGCACTAATGAGACTGTGGGAGGAGCTCCTGCGCATTCTTAACTTGTATTGGGAAGGACTTCCAACCGTCGCGCCCATAGCGGCTAAGTTGAGAACTAACCTCATAGTCGAGATGTTAGGTTGTTTTCGGTCGCGGATCTCGATGAAGCACCTTGACTATACCGTCGGGAACCGGCGAGAGATCGTGGAAGGTCTGGTCCGGATGCTGGTTGCAGTTGAAGACTTCTTGTTGGGTGGCCGACGGCCTAAAGCTGACAGACTTGGAGGCGAAGTGGTGATAAATACAACTGATAAAAATTAATTTTTCTTTAAAAAAATGGAAACAGGTGCACAAAATAAAATGACACTGCAACTAACTGCCGCGCACGATTTACATAGTTAAGAAGTTACAAGAGCAGACGTCTCGACGTCAAGTGTCCTCCTGTGGTGAGAACGCCGGCTAAGCCACAGAGCAGGGGCTGTCGCGTACGACAGAAGTAACGCGGCGAACCACGGGAGAGAACTACAGGGCCGCTAGGGCCCAATCAAACTCGACGATTTTCTGTCCGGTTGGGGGTTATGACAGTGCGCCGAAACCTGTCTCATTCAATCAGGGTCTAGTTAGAATCCCATCGGGTACAGGCCCGGACGCACCCTCAACCAATCGGACGGGCTAAACAGCACCCTCGCCAGGAGGCCAAAAGGTTAGCTCCCAAGGAAAGGTCCCACGGCTAGAACCCAAACATTGAGACGCGAGCTCTGGTTTGTTTATGGTCGGAGAAAATAAACTGACTCCGATGATTCAAGCGAGAATCGCCAGGTGCCTTACGGGGAAAACCGTCCCTCGGGGTGTGAGCATTAGGTACGTTAAGACCAATAGATGAACGGAGATTTTGCCAGACGCAACACACTTGGGTCTCGCGAACACAAGTGCAGCGAAAGATCACACCAGATTCCAAGAATACGGGGGCCAATCCGAGGGTTCACCCGATGCTGCGTCTACGTCGGTGCGTAAACCTCTGTCGCGTTCGGGACCTCCACAGCCACTTAAACTTGATCCGCGATCTCCGCCGGAGTGGCCTGCACCCGAGACTCGCGACCACGGCACTTCCTCTAGTTTACAGAACGGCCTGCCGCTGACAGGTGCACTTAGGAGTTATGCTGGCTGTGTAGGTTCGTGTGTCCGGATGCAACAAACCTTGGGTTAGGTGGGAGACTTGCAGGCAATGACCCGCCGTGGGAAGGACGCAACCTTGCCCGTGGTGGAAAAAAACTATAAATTCAGCACGTATCGAGACGTTAAACAATTAAAAAAAAAAAACAACGCCGTCTTAGTTGCACGCAAATATGGACCATTTCTACACTCGTGAGGACAACTACAACAAAAAACCATTTTCTTTGTCTGGGTTCATAGCGCACCTCCTCGGCTTTAAGATTTGAACAACCATTCATCTGAGGAGTTTACCCGGCGATATTGTGAGTACCTCGAGATACATTTTGGCGAGAAAATCTCCATCACCGTTTTTATGGTATGATCGCTTCTATTCACGGCCCCTCTCTGCTTGCGCCCGGATTTGAGTTTACGTTAGTTATTGTCTTTTTGAGTTTCAAAACGCATGAAAGATCAATTAGTAAAATAAACTTCCAATATATTTCCAACAACTGCAGTTTTGCTTTTTGGCACAGGTATTTGGCATTTAAATTGCTATAAGGTTTAGCGTGTTTAAAAGGCTGAGGGGTCTGAGAGGCTGAGAGATCTGAAAGGCCTATGAATTTGAAGGACTGAGAGGTCTTAAGGGCTGAATGGATTTGAAGAGCTGAGAGGGTCCCATAACGTCAGGGCTGAACGCTTATTTTTAACAGGTATGCACTTTTTGAACTAGGAAATCATACCTAATCACGAGAACTTGATGTTTCTTCATTTAACAAAAATGAAATACCAAACATTGCATCAAAGGGAACATTGTTTGTTAGCAATTTTTTTTCCTACAATGTCGTGTTCATGCTTGTCTTGTAGGAGTATCGAGGGCCAGGGGCGTAGCCAAGAAAAAGGGGGGGGGGGGTGGCTTATAGGGCTTCAGCCCCCTCCTCCCCGAAATAAAGCCAACCCTATAATATGCACATGCATTTTGACCCCTTCTCCCCCCTCCGCTCTCAAGTAATGGCCATCCCAGCCAACTCCCCCCCCCCCCCCCCCCCCCTGAAAACGAATTCCAGGCCACGCCACTTTTGAGGGCAGCTGCATAAAAGCAGCTGTTTACCTCGGTCTCTCCCATCACTGATGCTGAAAAATAAACTGTTTCAACTGCTTCTTCTCTTACTGAAGCCAAACTCCAAACTCGGAGCTAGCGCTCTGCCCGGCTGTCCGAATGGAAGAGAAGGAGGACGCTTCAGTATGAATCAGGATGCACGAATGTCCACGCATCAATCCCCGAAAAAACCGAGTATGGCGTCACCAAAGCCTGTTCCTTTTTGTCGCTTGTAGCGACAAACGAGGCTCGCTTTTTCATTCTGTCATATTCGAGATTAGAAAAAAAAAAAAATTAGGCGGTTCACTCAGATTTCAGTGTATCGTCAAGAGTAAACAAATATACGTAGATATAAAAAAGTGATCAATTCGAAAAAAACTTATTTTCTTGTGTGTTTAAATGTTTTTCTTTTCTCTTTCTTCTTTTACGCGTATATGAGCTCGCAACTTGTGCCGGCTTAAGTTACCGATGATAACGCACGGCTCAAAGCTGGCAGTGCCGTGGGAACGCGCTCGCCGCCGAGTCAATGAACCGCCTCCATTTCATCAGCTAACCCCGTTCCCTGCGCGTGGGCGGGAGCGTGATCACGTGACAAAAGACAGGCGTGTGACTGGTCCAACAAGCACTTGGCTTTTACCGCACTGTCAACTTAGGGCTGAACGGAGTCTACAGATGGGCGGGATTGGCGGTCCTTCCCGCATTACAAGAATAAAGATGTCGACAGACGAAGCTCTCGGCCGTATCCAGTGTCGGTGCGAGGGCATGTGCTCGAGCGCTATTGCACTTTTTTGGTTGTTCTTTTTTTCTTCTCAAGGAAGCAAAGAAAAACAAAAACAGCTCCGATTACCCATTATCAAGCATCTGCCTGGGGCCTTCGCGAAATTAACATCGATATTAAAAAGAGAAGAATCACCGCAAGGGCAAAGTGAGGGTCGAAAAAACACGCACAGCAGGCTGCAGCACTGGTGATGGCGAGTGAATCTGAGTGAATTCGCAGACATCTTGCCGAACATAACATAAGCGATTGAGTGAAGAAAGACCTCCTCGAATTTCGCCGCTTTTTTTTTTTCTGCTTTTTTTTGGCATCGTAATGTTTTTGTTATTTATTTTCTCGATTAAAATGACATCTTTATTACTCTACGCCATTATGGAAGGGCTGAACTCAGGCGGTGCGCTCAGGTCATTTGACACGCCTCCTCTCATCGCTGGTACGGGCAATCTGAGATTTTGGTGCTGTCGGTACGTTCAAATTTCTGACTCTTTTGATCTGTTATGCTTCTGTTTCCTTTATCGAACCATTTTATTGAGATTCATAGTTTCTGCGTATTACGGATAAGGTTACGTTCCTTTCTAGTTTTAATTTTCGGCTTCCCTCTCCATGAATTAAATATAAAAGTAATCTGTTTATCCCATCATTGATGAACTAAAGTGGGCGCGTATACAATGTCGTTGTTCGCTGTGGTCATTTCTCGCTAATCCTCATTGAAAAATTCTTATATCTGGCCCTCTTCGTGTAACACAATAGCTATTTATACGACTCTAGGCCCCTTAGCCAAACTACAGTGCCCTAGAAGTTGGGTAGTGGGCTCACCGCCCTATGTCCCCCGTGTATTGCGCTGAAGCGGCCGGTGCCGAAAACGCCGGTGGTAAAGCCAGCGGCCGCTAGGGGCGCAGCAGTAGATTCCTCCTGAAAATTATCTTTCTTAACCCCCGCTTTGATCAAACTTATATAGTTAATTTACAGTGATTGACTCTGAGACAAAACACGAAACAAACGATTGGTAAGAGCCGACTAGCCTGGAAAGTTTCAGGAGAAAGCGCTACAGCGCCACCGCCGCGTCGACATCAAACGCGTCAGGCCGAGCCGTTTCGTGAGCCCACTACAACTCTCTAGGCCACTGTAGCCACACGTCGGCTCTCACCTTGCAGTTGCTTCCT